CCAGTTAATGACTGTCCTGGGACTTCGCTTCCTGAACTTCGAGGCCCTCTCAACACGCATCGAAAAGAGGAACTTTGCGCGGAGGAGACGATGGTCCGACCCGTGTAGAACTTCGGAACAACAGCGAGGTCGGTCAGGCAAAACCTTCGATTGAAGATGATGTGGTCTATCTCGTTATTTAACTGTCTATCAGGTGACTCCCAAGTCCAACGAAGGTGAGGGGGCTTTTGGAACTGTGAGTTACCATGGATGGTGTTGGTCGACATGATAAACTCACTCCGACAGTCTCTCATCCTGCTCATTCCATTCCATTCCGTGAGTACCGATGTGAAGTTCTTCGGCCGTTCTTCTAATACCAATCTTAGGCGTTGAAGTCGCCGACGATGACCTTGAAGAAGGTATGATCTTCCCTGTAGAACTTCTCCAATTCCATATAAAATGCATCGTGTTCCTCCTCGTCGTGTACTCGAGATCGGTGAGTTGGGGTGGGCGTGTCACCGGAAGTGACGTGCACTTGATAGAAACTATGTGGATAAGCTGCTTCCAACATACATCGCTGGGTATCAGCAAAGTATGCTGGATGTTGGTGCGTAGGCGACGAAGATTGTCAAAGCAGGAGTTGAACCACATCTTCTCAATCTCAAACGTCCGATTCGGGTCGTAAGGCTTTCGTACGAATCGATGTTTATGGCCAAGTGCGTGTTGACGAGGACACCCACACCGCCAACGCCTCTGCTGTCGCATGTTCCAAGGAACAGTTCTTCTCCAGTATCGAAAACGGCGTGTAGCGGGCGGTGCCTTCTCGTCTCGGTCAGTCCGATGACGTCGTACTTGATCTTCCTGGCCTGCATCATCAGATCTTCGATGTGAGCTTCGGATGCAAGCGTTCGTGCGTTGAAAGTACAGATCGCCATCTTAGTCCTTCTTCGTTTAGGCAGCCTATCCGGGCCCTGAGATTCTAGCAGCCTCTCCCGAGCGGTCCTACCCAACGCTGCCGTATTGGGGGCTCCCTCAGGTTCAGGGGAATGAGGCCCATCCATATTGCTGTTTTCGGCATATTGAAGGCACACGAGTAGCTTGCCAGGCTCTGTCGTGTGGGCTAGGATAG